TTGCTTTTGTGTTCACGGAGCTCAAGATTAATTTTGTTTTAATGTTTTCGATCAAATTTGAAATTAGTGCGTTTCCCACTAAGATCTTCTAGTTTAATTTAAAAGAAAAAACAACTCATAATCTCCATAATAATGTTTTCATAATTCATATTAAAAAAAATCATTTGAAAAATTTACACAAAATTCAATTTAACTAAAACAATTAAACACGTTTCAGTCGGTATAAACCGTTTGAATTATACCCTGCACCTTTCATTGTTCTATTACATTGTTCTATTTCATTATATTCCATTTACTCGAACCTGTGAAAGTGTTCAATAGAAACTTTGCGGATTACGTGACCTTCATAAATCTGCAAAACTTCAGGGATATCTGTGATCTATAACTAGACACACGACTGCCAAAGCTTCATGAATCTGACTTCATTATTTTTCCAAATATTTACAATTAGCGTTTGAAGTTGTAAGGCAGCTACCCGAATCAGTGAAACCACTCCATTAATTGGCCCTTTAAAAATTTGATATTAATCTATATTAGCTTTTGAAATATTTAAAATAACTTCTTTGGGTTGTATGGCAGCTACCCAAACCCGTTGCCCGATTTGGTCCGATTACAAAGCAGCCGTGCTTGGCAGAAAAGAAAAAACTGTGAAAATTTGGTTTGTCAAAATCGAATAATGCAAAAGTTTGCCCGATTGCATTGTTTGTTTTTGAGTTATTGTGCGATCGGACGGACGAATGGATATCGCTAAATTAACGCAGAATTTTGCACTGAGTAAGAATAAAAATACATATCCATACCGTAGACGACACCTTCAAGTGTTTAAAAAGTCCATACTAAAGTTAATGTACCTTCACAAAGGTACAGAATATTAAAAACTGCCACAGTGTTTTTTTATCGCACACATTTCTTAAACTCACAAATTGTTTTTTGTAAAGTATAAGAATTTTATGTTGGAATTTTATGGCTTTGAATACTACGTAGCAAACTAATATATAAGATAAACAATAAATAGCTAATATTTGATACGTTTTTTATTTATTTTGCCTTATTTTTTTTTCATTTGCCATTCTAGAAGGGCTAGAGAGTTGAAATATAGAAAGAAAAACAAATCGATCTGCAAAAAATGATCTAAGCCTAATATTGAACCGTTATACATAACGTATGAAAAATTTTAAATTTATCACGACCTTATTGGGTTGACGCATTTAATTTTTTATTATATATTCTTATTTTTAATTCTAATATTTGCTAATGTTTATGTAATGAGATCATAAATTAATAAGCAAATCAAATATTCAATTCTGAATTGAAACATTAGGGCTTAAAAACATACACAACGAATTGATGCACTAAAACTCTTTAATTTAATTACATTTACGATAACTATTTCAAAATTTTTTCGTTATCTCTAAAATATTTTTCAAATAAAAATAATTGCTCATCCACAAAACTTTTCAATTGTTTCTTTTTATTGCAGCAATACCACAAACATACCCCTATATGCATAAGATTATAAGTATACCGTTTTAAGTACATAACATACATATACACATTTAAAAAATCTGACTTTATTAGGGCAAAACCAACTGCAAGGTTTATTGTCTAGTTTAGCGAAAATGTTAAACAAGATCATGAAAATAAATTTTAAATATGTACATACTTCTTCCAAATTTTAAGGACGCTAGTAAATTCAATTGATTGATTTTCTTAATATTCGCATAAATGTTAATAATCTTATATAATTATAAGCTCATATATAAAATTTTAAGTTAATTTGTTGAATACTTTCTTAATAATGATCAAAAACGTTAAATCAGCACGTATTAAAGATCTAGTTCCCGAGACCCGACATACCTCAAATTTGATCATATCCGTGTTATGTCCGTTGTGTCCTCCTCAAAAGTTGATCAAACCGTCAGCTTTTCAACCGTCAAAGTAACTTAGATGAAATTTAAAAAAAAACGATTCAGCTGAACTTGAGATATTAATTTGCAGACAGAAAGGCTGGTAGACAAACATACAGGCAAACAAACTGACAGACAGACCTACAGAATCTCTAAAAACAGATTATTTAGGCTTTCCTAGTATGAGGAAACGCATTCCCGCAGAAAAGTCAACATACGAAATTTGGTGCCATCACATCACCTCCTTTATTGGGCCCAAGGTGGTCGGTAAAAATAAAAAGAAAATATTTCAAATAATTTAAACAAAAACGTGTTAATGTGAATTTAAAATTAATGAATACCAACAAAAAAAGCGTGTGTTGAGATTAATAAAAACAAGGTCTATAAATTGCAAGAATAATTTCAATAAATATCTATGTACAAACTTATATATTGTGAATTCATTTAAATGATTGAGAAAAATTTAAACCAATTAACCAATCCAATTAATTTATACATAATAAAATAGAACGGATAGCAAAGCCCTATTAACCCAGTTTTTATTTTCAAAAAATTTAATTCGGAAACTACTTTGAAAATTTATATATTGACAACTATATTGCAAAAATTTTATAAACAAAATAAAAACGAACTAACTAATATTATAGTTAACTGTAAATTTGCATCATATTCATAGGTATTTTTGAAATTGACGAAAACCATTTCAAAAATACAACTACAAACATTGAAATTTTATCGTTGCCATATATATTTTATACATACATACATACATATTTTTCTATCAACTCTTGCCGTCATTATCATCAGTTACTTCTACAATTAATATTTGTCAATTCCTAATAGTAAAAGTACTTTCAATATTTCCATATTTTATTCAGTAAATTAAAAAATAACACTCTTATTATTGCTTTTAAAAAGTCATAATTAAATTAAAATGAGTCATTTTTAAATGCTTTGTTATCGTGGGTGCCAAATTACTCACCAACAATATAATTCATTAGAAATAAATGTATGTACATACATATTATTTAAGTTTAATACATAAGTATGTACTCAGGTGCAAGATAATTACTAAAAATTTTTATTTATATTTTCATCCAAAAATCTCACCAATTATTTTTTACTCAAAAGCGTGGTATAAAGACTACAAGGTAAGCCCATTGAAAAAAGCTCTTTCGTCACTTTTTATGTACATTACGTCATTTGTTTTCATTTGGTTTGAGACCTTTGTTATGAGAAGACGTATGTTACATATTTTAAAAATTAAAGTGTAGAAAAAGTTAATATTATAGGCCTGGCCTGTCTGGTACAAAACTTGAAAAAACCTTAAAAACTAGAGAAAAGAGACGACGTCCTTTTAAAACTTGTTCAGTAAAGAAAAAAAAATTCTGATTTAAAATCTATAAATACGTAATAAACTTCAAATTTCAAAATATTTATCAAACATTAACAGTACATAACGAAGAACATAATATGAATATTTTGACAACTAAAAGTTTTTAAAACACTAAATTTTACTTTACTAAAAATCAAGATGTCATGATATTCGCTCATTTCTTCTCAAAAAGTATTTATGCCAGACGCTTTGCATACGGATACTTCAAAAAGTTTTTTCATTTTAAAAACTGTCTTATACCAAACAGACTACCTTATAATTACATTATATTAAACAGTAAAAAATAAATATAAATTGTTTAAAAAAAACGATTAAAACTTCTCTTAAATTTATACTCGTATATTTAAATATTAGTACTTTTTATGGTAAAAAGTGAATATATAGTTTGTGGTGCCATAAAAACAGTTTAAATTAAAAGGAAAATATTTATAAAAAGTTTAAAACTATAAATCCAATTTGCAAAGTCAGATCTTGTAAAAGCAATAGTGAAACAAATAAAGTGCAATTCCATAGGTTTCAAAAAATCCAAAAGTATGAAAAAAATAGAATAAAAAATGTTATAATAAAGAATTCAAATTTGCAAAAAATGCTTAATTTTTCACTTTAATCATTTTATTTTCCTAAAGAAGATTATTCTTTAAAAAGTATTTTTTTTAAATTTTAAAATAAATCTGCGCAAGAAAGAAGGTTGAAAGAAACCGTTGTCCAATATTAACGTGCATTTAAAGAACCCTTCAGATTTTCATCAAGGGAAACCTTCAGAAAGACATATCACATCTATTAAGAGATGAACAAAGTAACTAAACAAGCTTCAATGTCTTATAAATCCAGGTGTATACCTGTAAACCTGTAAAGGATATTTATAATTTTTTTTAGCGCTGGTATCTTTTTTACTTAGTACTTTGCTTCCAATGTTTGTTATCACAATTACCTCATGTATAAGCAACTGCATATATTTAATTATGTTTTTATATTTTTAGCACCAGTCAAGAAATTACTTGTTCAGCAGAAAACCTTGATGTTATTTCTGAACCTTGTAATATTGAAATTCAATCAGAGTAAGTTTTTTAAAATTGTAAATACATTTTAAAATGTAATAATATCTAAAATACTTAAAAATTTTAGAACTAATTTGGAAAGTGCACTACAATTGCAAGTATTCAATTTACAAAAACAATGCAAATATTTAAAAAAAAACCAAGAGGGCAGTTGGTCGAAGAAAAAGGAAATGACCATAGAAAACAACAACTTAGAAAATCATTAAAATATATTTTCACTAGAGGCGAAATAGCAAATTTAAAAAAATCTATTAAAAAGTTTTATAATTATATCTAAATATAAAATATAATGTACAAAAAATTTCAATAGAAAAAGCAAAAAATGTAAAAAGCTTACAACTAAACATTAATTTCTTATTTCTTCTTCAATGTATGTGTAATAACAGTTGACATATTTGGAAGCAGATGACGTCACAAAAAGCTTTTTTCTTCGATAAGTATACCTTGTAGTCTTTATACCATGTTTAAAAGTACTTTGACAGAAAGCTTTATTACACTCTTTATAAAAACTGAGTAATCGAGCTTTTCTGAACAAACTTTATGTATTATGTATACATTTTTTTTTATATTTAAGTTGTAGTTACATTTTGTTCATTGAAATTGAAAAAAAAGTAGGTACTTAATTTTCATAAAAATTCAGAAGTTTTCACACATTTACCGTTATAAGACATATAAAAATGCCCGCGATAATTTAGTCGAAATTTTTTGAACGGACTAGTCTGGTATTTTTTTTAAAATCGGTTAAATTTAAATAACATTTAAAAACAAAAAATAAAATAAAATTAAGACAAATATACATAATTAATTAAATTCAATTTTGATTTTATTAATTAAATTTTTGATTAAACTAAACATAACTGGGGAATTTTTAAATATTAATTGTTTATTTTTAAAAATAAGAATAGAAAAGATTGGTAATTCAAATAGCAATATAATAAAATAATAATAAAACGTTATTAATTTTCTTTTATAAAAACAAAAAAAAATAGAGAAATTATATAATTCTTTAAAAATTAAATTATGTATTTAAAAACTTTTAATAGTGAAATTTGAAAATCTCAGTTTAAAATCATTGAAAAACAAATTGCAGTCAATAACATGTGACTTTCACATTTTGGATTCTGTCCATTCAATTATAATGTACTTATATATGTATTTTATGTATTCCAACTTTAAAAATATTGTTTAGGTATACTAAAACTAATCTAAGTATACCAACTTGTAAATCAATTGTCAAAGATTTTGCTTTGGGCAATCACAAAAAGTAATATATTTTATTTGGAAACTCTTATTTTAAATATTGTTTAATATTTACATTAAATTATTAAATTTAAATTAGTATTATTTAATATAATAATTATATTTAGCTAAGCAATAATATTTAGTTTAATATATTATACTAGTACAAGTTTTTAGTTTAATATATTATACTAGTACTATACACATATGTACTAGTACAAGAAATTTTTAATAATATAATTATAAATTCAGGAATTTTTTAAAGTTTCGTACCTTAAATTTGATGTGATAAATTTAGCAAGAACTACAGAAATCATAAATTGAAAAACTTATATTAATAAATAGCGCTACTGCATATGTACATACATATATATATGTATACATTTTCAATTGTATTTTAATTTTATTTTTTTCATCTATGTATATATTTTCTATTACATTTTCAAATGTTGTCTTCAAGGTTTTCCTGTCAGAATCTAAAAAAAATGATTCGTGTATATTCATGTTATGTTTTCAGTTTAGATTTTCAAGAGTTTAGTCGTCAAAATTTTTATTACTTATTCCTATTTCTAATAATTTTATATGATTATGTTAAATACAAAATAATTTTTTCAATAGCGTATTAAATTCGACTTTTTCACTTAAATTTTAGTTAACATCTTAAAGAATTAGAGAAAAAACTGTATATGTATGCATGCCACAATATTAAAAAATCGTTTATAAAAAAAGTTATTAGCAAAATTTATGCTAACAAAATTGATTACACAGGTATGTACATACATATATAATATTTGAAAAAAAACCAAAAATGCTGTTATATAATTACAAAGGGTAAAATTAAAGTTCTATTCAAACAGGAATTCTGTAAATTAGGATGTTATTAAATATCATACTATGTTTTAAATGTTAACAATATCAAAGTCTTCGTAACCCATACTTGGACTAACTATGATCTCAATAATCCACATCAAAAGAGAATTTCATGAATTCTATAATAAGTTTATCAAATTTGCTGTACCTGTCCTTTTTGCCAAAATATACATATATTATGTAAAAAAAAAAATATTTAAAATTGCTGTTTAAAAAATCTTTGTCTGAAAATGAATAGATCGAGGATAAAAATTGAAAAAGTTTAAAAAAGAGAGTCACGTTCTTTTTGGAAATTTAATTTTGTTGATAGGATATTTTACTTTCGTCTTCTACTAATTATGATAGCATTCAATGTTTCGAGATTGAGAAAAGAGAAAAGTTACAATCTACAGTTTGTGAAATGGAATGAATAATTATACTATTGGACCATTAAAATACATTACATTTTTTATTAATTTTATAGAAACAAACATTAACAAATAAAAAGCAGTTTCAAAAACATTTTTGAACCACATTATTGAATTGTAATTTATGGTTTTTAATGACCCAACTTAAAACGGGAATCCATTGAAATTGTAAAAGTAAATAATATAATACAAATAGAAGCAAAGTAAATGAAGTTAATATTACCGACCGCATTGCATACAATTAATTAGGTTATGTGATGACAACAAATTTTTCATATCGAGTTTTCGGTGGGAACGCACTTCTCCATAGCAGAGAATCGTAAATAAACGATTTTTAGAGAGTTGTTGGTCTGTCGGTCTTTCGGTTTGTCGGTCAGTCGGTCTGTCAAAGAATTGATCATCATTGATGTATCTTGTACAGACTGCCGATATTTACTAATATACGAATATTATTTATGACAAACATTGAATATTATTTTTTTTCTGCTTAATAAATTACTTATTAAATACTTAATCAAGTATTTAAAACAACACTTATCACAACAGTTTGGTTGTTTATTTGTATTCCATAGGTTTATATCCAAGCGCAAACACATACAACTGACAATAAATAAAAAATCAAATAGTTTGTAATTTTTTACAAACTGATTGTAATTTTAATATGACGTATTCGATTTGAATACACGCAATAGTTTAATTTATAGATGTGCGCGCTACAATTCCACAATGAAAGGCCAAATGCAAAACTAACAAGTAAAAACGTTTCAGTCGGTATGAACCGATTGAATTATACCCTGCACCTTTCGATGTTGTATAGCAATTACTCAAACATGTGAAACCATTCTATAACCTGTGAAACCATTCTATAGAAACTTCACGGATATATCTCACCTATAACTGGACACACAACTGCCAAGTTTTATGAATCTAACTTTTTTATTTTTTCAAATATTTAAAGTAAGCTTTTGGACTTGTATGGGAGCTACTCGAACCTGTCAAGCAATTCCACCAAAACTTCAGAAACATCTTTGACCTATAATTGGATATACAACTGCCAAGTTTCATGAATCTGACTTTATTATTTTTCCAAATATATAAAATAAGCTTTTGGACTTGTATGGGAGCCACTCGAATCTGTCAAGCAATTCCACCAAAACTTCAGAAATATCTTTGACCTATTATTGGACACACGACTGCCAAGTTTCATGAATCTGACTTTATTATTTTGCCGAATATAAAAAATTTGCTTTTGGAGTTGTATGGCAGCCACCCGAACCGGTGCAGCTATCTTATTAAAATTTTTAGAGCATATGTAAAACATAATTGGACACATGTATACAAAATTTTATATTTGTACCTTTATTAGTTTTTGAAATAATTAAAATAAACTCTTTGAGTTGTATGGCAGCTACTCGAACCCGTTGTCCGAATTGGTCCAATAACAATAGGGTTCGTCCTTGGCACAAAAGAAACAACTTGTGAAAGTTTGGTGTCGATTGCATTATTCCGTTTTTGAGTTATCGTGCGATCGGACGGACGGACGGACGGACATGTCTAAATCGACGCAGAATTTTACGCTGAGCAAGAATATATATATATATGTCCATACCGCAGACCTTCAAGTAGTTACAAACTCCATACCAAAGTTAATATACCCTTCACGAAGTGCAGGGTATAAAAATTGCATGTCTACCTAAGCCCTAATACCTATCTATATTTTAATTTTTATGACGGTGTTTACCCATTAAATATTGATTATGGATTTTATTTGACAATAATTGTAGAGTCTTCTAATCTTTCCGTCAAACAAAATCAAACTTTCGTCACATAGCACAAAATTATTGAATCTCTACTTTTGAAGATTACTTTGATAGACTTTTTTCGTAAGATCTCTTTTTAATATAACATCGCAATTTTATCTGGCATAATTATTGTTTAAACTTTCGTTATTTAAAATCAACAATATCGAATGGAGTACTCATCGAATGTTAACCTTGATATTGAACTTGTGATATAATTGAAATTTGCATTCAATCAAATTGTACTTCATGCAACATTTTATAACGAAATAGAAATATTTTTTTCTTATCTGTGGAATTTGCGATAAAAATTTTTCTTTTTATGAACTTCAAAAATTTTATTTTTGTCTCTTTTTGAAGTTTTTTTTATTGTTAGTGAATAGATATTTTTGGTTTCTCGCTCTCTCTCATTATATTATAGCTAAATTTTTCAAGGTAGGTACTTAATGTTTTTCCGAACAAAATCGTATTTGTTTTTATTTTGTGATAAGCTAATTCTTATGTTTTTGTTATAAATGATCAAAATAAAAAGCAAATTAGTTTTTTTTTATTTCATTTATGGCTTTTTAATTATACGTATTTATGTACGTATGTATACGTATATATGTATGTATGTACATCGGCTTTTACGCAATAAACAATAGAAATATTAAAATTCAAGCATACATATTTTAAATATGCTTTCTTAAATACATTTTACGGTACTGACATTTTAAAACTAAAATTCTATGTTTGATGCATTACAATTTTAAAACGCACAAGTATTCAAAAGAATTGGTTCAGTGTGAGAATTTGCCCAGTGGTTCTTTTTGTTCTCCTCTTATCTTGTTTCCTTGCATAAACTTGTTGCTTTATTCAATAGAGCTTCAAGTTTAAAACGATATTCAAACTCCCTATAATATTTTTTTGCAGATATCGTAATTTCTCGCAAAAAGAAAGAAAAATTCTCATTTGACAAAAAAAATAAAACAGACGGAAAAGTTGAAAAAACTTTTAAAAAAAAGTTAAAGTTATATTATTTTTTGATTATTCAAAAAAAAACCAAAAACTTTGATTTTAGATTATAAAAGTGTGAACGTTAGAAAAACTATTTGGGAATCAATTTTGTTTATTTCATTTTATTTTTAATTAAAAAGTTTTTAAAAAAATTATTGTTGATATTTCGAGATCTGAATGTAAGATTTCTAAAGTTCTTAAAACACTATATTTTACTTTACAAAACTTAAGAAAACTTTAAACATTTAGAAAATAAAATCGCCATCATTTTTCTATTTTTTTTTCAAAAAATATCGTAACAGACGCTTTGCATACAAAAACTTTATTATGTCTTTCAAATTTTATAAAGTTTTTAAAAACTTTATACTGAACTTTTAGCTTTATTTTATTTCATTTATTGATTAAATTTTTTTAAAGTTCCAAAAGAATGTTTATTTTGTTAAGTTACACATACATACATAATGTACAGATACATTTCGGGTACCTTATTTTGCCATTCTGCAACAAATGTGATTTTTGTTTTTAAAGAACTAAAGATTAAAAATTTAAATCCAAATTTAGAAATTAAAGTTTCAAAATTATTTGAGTTGCTTAATATACATATATGTACATACATTATATTATGGCAAGCTAACCTAAATATATTATTATACTATTCCCCTATTCCACTTATGAATATTCAGGCACGGTTATAATGTATTCGTCGCTCTAAGCGGTTCCTATAAAGTGCGCCCCCTTCCACCGTTTCACCTGTTTTATTACTGTGAACAAAATTTAATAGGCATTGCACATTGTGGATCATAAAGCACTTTCTTGTAACCTTATTATGCTGAATTATTTCTGCATTCAGAAATTATAGAATTAAAGCCTGGAACTAAACTTTGTTTTTTTTTATAAATTCAACAACAAGGTAATTTATTTAACTGTATGTTTTGTTTATGAAGTTATGATCAGATTTATTTCAATTATTTAAACTTGATTTTTTGATTTTAACAACCAAAAATTTACTTTTTGGTGTCAGTGAAACTTCTTGTAAAAGGTTTAAGGATAATAATATCAAATAAACTTTTTCAAAACTTATTTGAATATAAAAAAAAGTAAAAATTTGTTTACTTAAATACTTAAATGACTGTACATAGCGAAATTTTATTCGTAATTTCAAATTTACGAATAAAATTTGGCTTTTTATTTCACAAATCGTCTGAGAAATGAAGTTGAAGATGAGAAATGAAATGAATCGCCTGAGTACATATTACCAATTAATATTAATTCTGTGATAACAGTTTTTTCAAAAACGAAAGCAAAACATAGTAGTAGAAGTTCATAACGATCATGTAATTAGCACTTTTCCAAAAAAATTTTGAAAAAAAGTGCTTATTAGTTTCACTCTGTCCGTCCGTCTGTCCGTCTGCGTCTGTTTACAAAACTTCTACACCCTTGAAGATATACAAAAATTTGTAAAAAAAAACAAAATATTGTAAACAAAGGAGTGTATTAAAAACATTGAACTGAAATAAAATTAAATTAAGTTAGGTAAAAATTTTGTTATTTTTATTTTGATAATAACAAAATTTATTTTTCATTTTATTAAAGTTAGGTAAAAAATTCGAATGCATGAAAGCAAAAGAGTTTGAAATTTCATGTATGAATGTACACTTGCATGTACCTGGTACAGTAGATACACAGTATCAGGTAGCGACATAGAAGTAAAGTAATTTATAAAGAAAAGAAGGTGTATGCATACTGACTAATACTTTATGAAATATAATCATTAGCGATTCATGGGAAATATGCTCTAAATTTATTAAGATTGAATTAAAAATAAAAAATTTAAAGATAATTTATATATTTTATTTATTAATAATTATTTATTACAAATGCTTAACACTAAATATTTAAAATATTTTCAAGAGTACATATTTACCTCTCCACATCTTTTGGCAACAAATGAAATTTTCGTGTCGTCTTTTTTTCATCCTAAACACTTCAAATAATGTTTACCCATTTTTATAAAAAAAAATATTTTTTTCACAACTATTTGAATTTTTTTTAATACTCGTATTATACGTCTTTTCAAAATTAATTTTTTCTATTTTTCAAAATTATATTATATAAATTATAATAATTTTTTTTTAAACACTTTTTTTCTTCCTCGCTTTTATAATATAATACACAGTTTTTGCCACCTTGTACTGGAATAAGTTACAAAAATAAAACTCCCGCTTTTGAAATTCTTAATATTTTTTTCTATATTTTATATAGGGAAAAATTAATAACTCCCGCTTTTAAAAATAAATTATAATAAAACAGGTAGACGTCTATTGCATACTTTCTCCTCACCCAAAAATTCTTATGTGTATAAAAATGAAAATAAGAAGGTATACTGCTTAACTCTTTCAACTAAGGGAATTTTTTGTTTACAAATATTGGTGAGGATTGCATTAGTGTGATGTAAACGGAGAGTCGAATTATTTATTAATAGATACACTTTGGTATATAAAAGGAAAAAAATAATAACAATTATTGTAATTCTAATGATTCATATTATTCAAAAAGATATTTAGTATATTCGTATAATAAATAGAAATGAATGAGTAGTGTAGAGTAAGAAAATGTATGAATAAGTTTAATTCTATAAACATTTTCTGTTGTATGGTGCGGTGCGAAAGGAAGATATGTAGATCAATAATTAATGTTTTGCGTAATTGACTTTTTTTATGCACATTTTTTATATAATTACGAATAAAATATTATGTTTGTATGTAGGTATATTTTATCAAGTTAATTTCGCTGTAAATTGATGCCCACTGCAAATACATACTTTGCATATATGAACCGTCCGCCTTTGTGAATATTTATATATTTATGCAAACGACAGACTAAAATTTTCTCTATGTTATATAAACGAACACATAAGGAGTTAAGTGGAAAATTTAGAGTCAAGTTAATAATGCTAAATGCGTACGAAAACAATGAGTATAAATCCTTTTACATATAAGTACATATAAGCAAAACCATGCTTTTCAATATTATTCAGGTGCTGTAATTATTCCTCAACTGGAGCATTTTATTATTTATTCATTTTTTTGACTGAGAACTTACAAACTAAGATTTAAAAAGTTTGTCATGGAAACAGTCTAAGCACCCAAACTCTCGTTGTAATGTAAACTCTGTTTATATCGTTCAAAACTCTGAAGGTGAATTTTATTCTCAAACCATGGCACATGTATTGTAGATACATAATATTTTGACTACACATTATTAAAATTTTGAGCTAATAATTTTACATAAATCGTAAATATTTTCTTAAAATTTAATAAATAAACTAATATGTAAAGAAAAAAAACTTATACATATATGAACTTATTTATGTTAATTCCTAATCTTGTTGAAATAGTCTATATTGAAGTATTTAATAGAATGAAAAGAAAACTACAAAAAGGCTTAAGAAAATTATTGTTTACAATTTTTTCACTTATAGGTACACTTCATCAAGACCTACAGAAAAAAATACTGTTGCTAATTATTATAAAATTTGTATAATTTTTGAAAGCTCGTACAAAAACTGGAATCAAGTTTGGGTTTTGATCGAACTATAAACCCAGTATTTATTGATAAGAATTTTCATAGAATATTTGCGCCACGGACTATTTCAGCAAAGCCAGAAGCAAAATTCTACCTTGTTGGTAAAATGGTTATATAATGCGTACATACGTATTATATGTATATTTTTATGTACATTTATATTATTTGTCATTTAACGTATACAACTTTTATAGATCTATGAAATATGAATTTTTGGATATTTTTAATGCTCTAAAAGTTTTATCTTCTAAAATTATGCTCTAAAAGTGTTTTATCTTCTTTATTTCAGAATAATTAATTTATATTGAATTCCTGAAAAAAAATATACAGATGAAAAATATGGAAGTTTATTACATTAAATTTTCTAAATTATTTATTATATTTATGCTACTAATAAAATTAGTTATCGCATATAAGGACTTACATTTAGATTTTCCTGGGCCATATTGTGCACAAAGGGGTGCCGCTGGCTGCTGTGAAAATCGAAAAGATAGTTGCGCAGTTCCTATACAAGGTAATTTTAACAAAGATAATAAGAAAAAATTTACTAAATATACATTTCAAAAGGTACACTGTGCTATTGCGATGATTTTTGTGACAGAGGGCATAGTGGAGACTGTTGTCCGGATTATGACACATATTGCAAAAACGTGCCACCGCCTGGTAAATATTTTAGTTAGATTTGAAAGAAAATCAAAATAAAATTTTTAAAATAAGAGTAATATTTATATTCCAACCTGTCTATTTCTACGTTTGCATAACATATCCTGAGTTCCATATTGCAATAATACAATCTTTAATTTCCATTCAACTTACGTATGATCAGCTTGAACCTAAACTTCTGAATTACATTTAAAATCCGCGTATTATTATATAATGGAACAAAAATATTTAATTAACTTATATGTATTTTTGTTCACCAAATTTATAATTAAAATATTAACATTGATATAATTTTATGATTTAATTTATTTAAAGTTCCTACCCAAAGATGCTTTCATAATGGCATATACATCAACCATGGACAAAGTTTAGAAGTAAGTATTACAAAAATCACGAAAAAAATCTCAAATAGTAATGTAACAAATAAAATTTTAAAAGAGTTACAGTTTTAAGTTGAAATTACATTACCATTTTCACATTTGTAATCTAATGAACAATGATCTAATTTTAATGAACAAAGTAAAAAATTTAGTCTACAACAAATAACATGTGGCTAAATACATGTTCTTTTTTATAGTGACTGTTAAACAGAGACACTCAATATTATGATTTCAGAAAAGCAATTTTTTATTCTTATTAGTAAATATTTTTAAAATCTTTTTGTTATCCAGGCTTTGTCCACCATTACTACTTTTTCTTCAAAATCCTTTAAAAAAAATTATTCAGTTTCATTTCGGGTTTTAAAATATTTTTAGGTTATAAAGGATACATTTCGGACTCTCAAATATAAATTTTTGCAATCTTCTTTTTATATATTTAATCCCAAAAATATTGATTGATATTCCATATGATTGCTATTTGACATGGTTACTTTTCGCCTTTCTAAGAAATTTATTCAAGAAGCTGTGTGCTTTTGATGTTATACATACTAAAAACTAATACTTTGGCGTAATGTATTATTAATTTTCCAAGCATGTATTATTAATTTTCGCTAATTCTCCTTATTGGAATGCCAAAAAGGATAATTTTTCAACGAATCTCAGATTTAATGTTGTAATAATTAAAAAATTAACATCCAAATAAATTTGGAAATTTTTAAATTTTGAAACAGGTAAACTTCCAAATAATTTTTACCATAAGTGTTGCATACCTTCTTATTCAAAATAAAACTCTCATTTTTAGATTTTGTTAATCAAATTAAATACAACAATGTAAATTATAGAGGCTTATTATTTTCAGGATAATTGCAATCATTGTACTTGTCGTAATGGAATAATGGAGTGTGAAAATGATATTTGTATACAGGATAACGACATTATCAACAATATTAATTTAATTGATGAATCACTGAAATGGCATGCTAAAAATTATTCCGAATTTTGGGGTAGAAAATATTCAGAAGGAATAAAATTACGTTTAGGTAAGTTAAATTTTTTTATAGTGTTGTAAATTTGTTAACAATCTACACAAACAAACAAAAGACAAAATTTGTCTTTTTAGAAAGCCTTTGCATATATTTGGATAACACTTTTTCAATATAAAAAATTTTTATATATATTTAAATTATTCGAAAATCTTATTAACTTAAATTTTTATTTTCAGGTACATTTGAACCTTCATTTAGAGTAAAGTCCCAGACACGTTTATCAAATCGAATCACAAACATTCCAGTTGAATTTAACGCCCTCAATCAATGGTCTGGGCTATTAACTGAAAATATTAAAGATCAAGGTATAATTCTTTTTAAATTTACATATACCATTCACAGAGCTAATTTTCCAAGTCTCTTTCAGGATGGTGCGGATCTTCATGGGTTATTTCAACGACATCTGTAGCTTCCGATCGATTTGCTATACAAAGTAAAGGACAAGAAGTTGTTGACTTATCAGCGCAAAATATTTTATCTTGCACAAGACGCCAACAGGGCTGTTTGGGGGGTCATTTGGATGCCGCATGGAGATACCTACACATGAAAGGGTAAGTAAATTTAAGTATTTTAACTAACTACATAAATAAGATATGTACAAAAATTTTCTGAAAAAAAATTTTTATGCTGATATAGTGTGGTCAATGAAGAATGCTTTCCATATGAAGCACATTCATCACACTGTCGAACTTATGGAATAAAATCCTTGCGCCAAATGGGTTGTCATAGTTCTGGTAAAGTTGACCGTGATCATTTTTATTCAACTGGCCCAGCATATTCATTAAACAATGAAACTGATATTCAAATTGAAATAATGAGATCCGGCCCAGTGCAAGCAACAATGCGCATTTATAGGGATTTTTTTTCGTACGGTGGGGGTATTTATCGTCGATCAGCAGCAAATCGCGATCATGATCATGGTTTTCACTCTGTTAAATTAATTGGTTGGGGTGAGGAAAGGCATGCTTATCAAACAACAAAATATTGGGTAATTTTTTAACACTAATTTTAGGATTATAAGTCAAAAACTATTTGTATATATGTATGTATCCGTGACTTCAAAAATGCGCTTGCGACGTAAATTTTACAAAGTATCAAATTCCACAAAGTTTAGTAAAAGCTCTTGGCACTGTACACTTTTTCTAAATGCGTTTTATACGGAGTGGAGACGTAAAATAAAAGTAAATTGGGTATCGAAAAAATCGAGCACGCTTTTCTTATACCTTGTAATTAAACTAGCATATATTTTCAGCAATAAAGTTCTAGTTATCAAGTTTTTTCCTAAAATGCAGCATAAGAATGCTATGTTTTTAATCATGTGGTAACGTTTTATAAAAATGAACATTTGCAGAACTTTAAATTGAAATTTTCAAATAAGTGTCAAAGTTGTATTGATATGGTAAAAATTGTATTCCAAAATGTACGAACAGCTTTAGTAGTTTTTTTTACAATGTAAACGTATTGAAAGCTCTGAGACGGTACTACAACCGTATTAATACTGCACTTAAATCTTTTTTAAAGCATTATTGAAGTCGCGGTATTACATTACTGCTGCTACTGATAGTTTAATTACCGACTTGATATTTGAAGTTTTTTTTTTCAAATTTATTTTTTAAATAATTATTTAGTAAAGGAATTGTAAAGTTAAAACGCATGTTTTTCAGATTGCCGCAAACTCTTGGGGCACTTGGTGGGGTGAAAAAGGTTATTTCAGAGTTTTAAGAGGCGTCAATGAGTGTATGATAGAAGATTATGTATTAGCATCGTGGCCACATGTTTTCAACCCTCATGTCAAACGTGTATCTCCATATAAAAAATAAAGCAGAAATTGAAGAAACAAAAGCATAATCAAAATACTAATCCGAACAAACATTTTTTTTTAATTTTGATTTGTTTTTAAGTTTTTTAAATTTATTTTTAATTATGATTTTAGTTTTAAGCTATACTCTCACATATACATATATAAAATTAATATAAGCAAATAAAAAGGGTATCAACATTTAAAAAACAAGAGCATAACGGGTCTGTGCATAAAACTCTCTATCCAATATAAGAAAAGGTTGTAAAATATATTGCAATTAATATAAAAAATTTGCCAAATTTATGACAATGTTTTGCATTAATTTGCCAATTTATGCACAGCAACGTTTTGGAGAATAAAGTATCTTTCTTTTGATTTATACATTTTACACATTTTTAATGAATAATACTTTCGAATTTTTTCTAATCTATATATATCAACATAATTTCAGCACAAAGACTCAATAATTTCATGGAGCAAATAGTTTTCCCCATAAGCCCTCGATAATTTAAAAACAATCAAATCAAAAATATTACCCCTGTCTTTGTTCTCGTTTAGTAATAAATGATAATTTTTTATATTGTACATATATGTAAATATAGCTTTAAAATGCACAAACATCGTATAGTAAATTTGTATAAATAATTGTAATAAAACTCGTGTTAAATTTTTGAGTTCATATTATTTGTACCGAAGTTAATTTTTATGTCGTTTTTTCAATTTTCATATGTATAAGTTTGAAAACATAAAAAATACAACTCTAATTATGTACATATCAATTTTCTTTATCTTAGCATCTTTTTATTATTATAATTTTTTTAATAAATTTAGTTAGGGTAAAATGCTAAAAACAGTTTTTATTAAAATGATTTTTTTTTATTTTCCTTCTGTTTTTCAACTGCCGTCTTTTTAATTTATAGTTTTTAAACATTAAAATTGTTTTTCTTTAGTTAAATTATTAACGTGTAATGTTAATACTTTTGTCAAACTTTTAAACGAAAATGAAATTGAGTACGAAAAAAAGTATTTAATTTGTTATTGTAAAATAAAATTTGTACCAAATTAATAAAGTGATTTTTAAAAATTATTTTTGTATCATCGTTTTCAACAATGTACGTATCAACAAAGTGAACGTGAATATAGACGATTAACTAAAAATAAATCCAAATTAGAAAGACATACTTATGAAAATAAATTGACAAATCCAATGCCACCATGTGAGTCTGAAAATATCAGGAGATATAGATAGAATCTCATGATATTCTCAGGCTCACAAGCTATACAGAGATACAGATAGATTCTCATGATATTCTAAGGTCACATGGTTACATACAAAGATTTTGCTAAACGGGTGGTAAATGTGTTAGATGTGCGGATAATCATATGACCGCGGAATAATCTTTGAAAACTGAAGTGGAACACATCCTGCTAGTTACGGAGATCGTTTAATGCTAAGGGAATTGCAAACAATCTTATGTGATCAGCAAATAACCGACCCATTTGCTTATTTAATCAAAGTGTTGTAGAAGATTATGGAAATGCCTTTTGAACGCTTACTTCCAATCTTAAGAAATTTAGCAAGCTTTTAGTTAACATACTTAGAAAAGTGTGAACCTGGCTGTTAGTAAAATTTCGCTTTGTGGCACCTGAATCCCCTGAAGAGTTCACCAGCTATTTTCGGCAATAATCAGAACTCAAATATCTAATTTCAAGAAATTCCATTAATCTGTTCAGTAAATGTGGTAAAACATGTAAAATTTCCATTTTGTTTTCCGAGTCCTGATCTTACCAAAAACTTTAAAGATTCATTGTTTTAACACCCCGAAATTAAATAATAGAATTTCAAAGAAATTGATTGATTATTTATTATAGCTTACTAGACAATACTTATAAAAAATTTAAAAAATTAGTATATAATTTTCATATATCCATAATACTCGATATTAAACTGAGAAAAATGAACAATAAATGCCAATAACCTTAAATATTTAATATATGTACATATATACATACATACATATGTATGTAGGAAAAATGTACGACAGGCTAGCCAGCTACCTAGTTGAAATATCTATGACGCAATGAAATTGGGGCATGACTATCTATGATATGACTATGTATGATTATCTAATGACCTGCTCGTTCTAGGAGTGAACAAAGGAGAAAAAAAATTTATAAAAAAAAAAAAAAACCTAGGAAAGAAATTAAAATTAAAGAAATCGACGATAACATATAGCAAATGATGGAAAATGTGCTATTAAGAATTTACGATCGAAATGAGATTAACTACTATAGACAACAGATATACTAACGTACATATGTCAATTATATTTAACGTTTATATAAAACATTTTCTAAAAGAAGTCAGTAAATAAAATACGAATTGCTACGTGGAATGCTAATAGTGTTATAAGTAGAAATTACGAATTGGAGGTTTTTAGATGAACATGAATTGGTGAAGAATCCAAAAATGGTTTATTATAGTTAAATTAAGTCGACTTTTAATGTTGGTTCAGGAAAAATATTTTTAAGGATCTTCTAGGCCAAACATGCGGATTGAGAACCAAGGAAAGCTATTTAGATAAGTCTTAGTGACCTGCAGGTGCCAAAAAAATCCCGGTACTGCTGATATAATAAGAGACGTGATAAACGCAAGTAAGCCTCAAGTATGTTCCTAATATTTGGAAAGAAGCGAAACTTATTTTTATGATAGATAAACCAGTAAAGCCCTTAAATTAATGAAGATAGGCCGCCATATACATATGTACATATGTATGTAGATAAAGTCATATAGGCCGATATCATATGATTCTCCTACCAACAAAACTTTTTCAAAAATTGTTGTTAATAAGTCGTTGCTGATAATAGAAAATATGAAATTGTTTAAAAGCAACAGTTTGGTTTTGAACGAAAACTGAAACAGAACGAAACAATTGACAAAGTGCATAAAATATCAAATATTGTACATTGTAAAAGTCCTTAGAAGAAAGGCATGTTTGATAAGATGGTTTTGAATTAAACAGGAACTCTTTATACAAAATGATTTTCCAGAATTGGGTGGCAGTAGGAAATTATATTTGACAGTTGTATAAAAACTTTAGCTATTTTGAATTTGCAGTATTATGTTCATGAACAAAAAATGTCGTTAAAAAAAACAATTATTTATTTTGGGTCAAGTAGTGGAAAATTATATACATATCAAGAAAAATAAAAATTAAGAAAAACAAAAAAGAAAACTGAAACAAAAAGATATTTTGTTATTTTGAAGTACAACAATCCAGAGACAAATTCCTATAAAAACTGCATAAACTAGTAAGAAAAAAGTATAGCTGATTTAACTGCGCTAGCCATGATAATTTAAATATTTTTGTGATATTTAAGAAACATTTGTTTATGAATACAGATATAGCGCAGTTCTCGCTATATATCACGATGTGTTTATGAAAAGGTCTTATATTGAAGAATTAAAAAAAATTAAATGAAAATATCAAGAAAAAAAGAGAATTAGAAAACAAATACAGATAAATGACAAATAATAAGGCAATAATAACTTTGCCAAGCAAACACATATGCGCATAATAGTGACTTTCATAGGGATTTGGCTGTCACAGAAATAAGCGATGAAATAGGGAACCATGCCATGAAACATAAGGCAAGTTGTGAAAAACATGTATTTATTGAAACTTCTCAAATAATAGAGGAGAGATTTAAAACAGAAAAACTGAAACAAAACAAATTTTTTAATTTAGCATAAAATGCTGAGACAGCACTTCTGTAACTTCCTTCACGGAATATAAACAGAAGAATATGGCAAATCTAATGGCAAAACTAAGTAAGTTTGATTTGTTAATGGTAAAACTAAGTAAGTTTGAATAACTTGATAAATATTTGGGTAAAGCCGTAAAGCATTAAAACCAAAATAATGAGGAGTGAAGTGATAAATTGTTTTATCACTTCAATAACGTGACTAACATAATAAGGATGAAGTTTTGCAGAATTCTTCAGATCTTAGTCATACATATTTTGATAGTCCACCACTATCTACGACTATCAAAACAGGATTTAGGTGTGATGATTATCGCTTCATCCGATACTTGCAGACAAAATGACTATCATAATATGTCTACGGTTTTAATTACCCGTAGGGGCACACATGGAAGACTGAATAACGTAATATTCCAAAACTTTAAAGTGAACTCACTAGTAATAAGTTTTTTTTAAATTTCAATACTTTATCATATAAATCATACATATAATACTTTTTACCTAAAACTTTAAATCCTAAAAATTGCAACAAGACAATTTTTGTTATTGAATTGTTGAATATTTTCAACAAAAACTTAACTCTTATTTCATGAATAGCAATGATATTATTATAATTATTACAATATTTATTATTGTTGTTAATTTCTAATATATTATGAACATCAATTAGTTGTCTTCAATTAAGTGTGATTCCAGCAAATGACACTTCTAAACCTGCGTCTGTTGTTTCCATTCGACTTTTAATGTGTGTTAAAGTATTCTTATAATGCATTTCAATTTGTTTCGTTTCTTCACTAGGTTCCAGATTGGGAAGCTCTTCTTCGATTTTTCCAATCAACTAAAAATTTATTGGTTACATACAATACAAAATAAAACTTAAACCTAAAACAAGACTAACCTGATTTAACATTGCGACTGTAACCAAAGAGTTACCACGTTCAAAGTAAAATAGATAACTATTTAATAATTCAACATATAGTTGTACTTGTACTCCTGCATCTAAACACTGAGAAGCTATTCTCGCTCCTTTTTTCAGGCAGTCTAACGTTCTTTTTTCTTCTCTCATTTCTTCTCCATTTTTCCTGCAAAAGCAAAATAATTATTTAGATTTTTTTAATTATTTTAATTCCTGTTTCATTATTACTTTCCACTCCAAAAAAGGCTAGCACAGGATACAACACCCCTACATTGATCAGGCTTTTTAAGTAATTTCGCTGAAGCTAATGCACAATTGGATCTTAATGGTTCTGCGTTATCTTCTCCAAAACATGTCATTTGTTCGAAAGTTGCCATTATTAATGTTATTGCAGCCAATTGAGCTTTAGAATCTGAAATTTCATCCTCATATAACGAAAATGCTTGTGTCATAAAATCATATGCTACTGTTTCATGATTGGTGTATTGAATTTGATCAATCGTTAACGCTCCTTGTAAATACAAACGCAATGCCAATTCTGGTAAATCCGCTTTTGCCAAAGCAGAGATCGTACTATGGCAAAACTGTAATATTTTCTGGCATTTTTTATCCCAATTTTCATCTTCTTCGGCAATGTTTTTATATTTTTTTGCTAACTGATAAGCAGAGAACACTAACGGTGGCAAAACGTGTTTAATTCTCAAAGAACCTCCATTTCCAAAATGCTTTCGCGCTATTTGTAAAATTTTATACTGCATATCAGGCTCTGGCGAAATTAGAAGGTGAACAAATCTACAAAACAGTTAGAAGTAAATTGTTTAAATTATAAAAAAATTAACTAAAAAAATTTATATAAAAATTATATTGAACTAAAGTTTAAAAACTTATTAAGAGAAACAAAAGTTTATTGATCTCCAAAAACTCACCTTGCGACAATACCTTGTTCATCAGCAAAGTCTTCAGGATCAGTTTTATCCCCAGTTTGGTTTTCCTCGTCTTTAACTAAAGGTGATATAATTGTTAAAATACTGTCAACTTCATTGGCAGTTGGTATTGTTATTTCATTATCCAATATATTCATTACCAAATAAAGTGCCAACGATTTTCGCGATGTGTAATCAAATTTTTCAAGCAATGGGCAAAAGTATTTTAATTTAATTATGATCAAAGCATTATTATAAAAATCAATACAAATTCTTAATAACCGAGAAAGTTCCTGATTAACAGTAGAAAAATATGAAATTGTGACCATGTTACGACATCCCAGGATCTGAGCGGTTGTTTCTAGCACTTTGTCAACATAATCAACACGATCTGGGTAAACTTTTTGTGCTAAACTTACCAGAGCAACTTGCAATGATATCGTATCTTCCAGTGGCATATCAGTTCTTATCTGTTGTACATAGGTTACAAAAAAAAATTACAATTTTTTTTTCATGCTATAGTTATACCTGGACAATGTTTGCTATTTGTATACTAAATACTTGAAATAATTGAACTTCTGGAGGAATGACTGGCCCAATTTCTTCGCCATTTCCAACAAACTAAAAAGGCAGTTAAGCAATTAATAAAATATATGTTTTTTAACTCAATAGAATACTTTTCCATTTCGTTGATTATACGCTGCTAGCCTATCTATGAGAGATATGATAATATTTTTTACATTCACGCCTGATTCTAGTTGGGCGCAAGATTTGAGGAATGGATCCAGTGTCAACAAATGAAATTCGTCAGGAAAAACCTAATTGATTTGCAAATTACACTATTTAAAATTTTATGTAAAAATAGTTTTACTTGTATTATGCATTCCATTAAATATTCTTGTGCTATTGCGTCCCTGCAACTAACGACTTGCTCTAATATACCTGGTAAAATACACTTTTGATAAGTTTCAAGTGTTGCCGAATCTAATTGCGATAGTCTAACCAAATTTGTTCCCACTAATATTTTTAGTTCTTCACGCTCTTTTTCTCTTCTATTTTTTTCGCTTGAGTGACCTTGGTGTTGCATTCGCACCCAAAGCTTATTCATTTCGGCAAAATTCATGAGCACGAAATCAATTGCGTCGGATACATTTCCTTCATTTTCATCTTCAGCAACAGTAACATCAGGTAGAATATTTCGAGTGCATTGTAGTAAATAATTTCGCAAAAATAATCCTCTTAAGGGATGCTGCACTCCACGGCACATTTCGACTAAATCTTTTAATATACTACGTTTCAAAGCATTATTGGTTTTAATATAAACGAGACCAACTGTGATTAGCAAATACAATCTTGGAACTATATTTCCAGCGTACTGAACAAGTTCATACAAATCAGCAACCTTTCTTCCTCTTTGAAATTCTTCTAACAAATATAGTTCCAAATGACATAATTCATCAGTAATAGCCATATCTGCAAATTTTTTACATGAAATTTAGTTAATTTCTTTAAAATATGTTATTTTTATTTACAAAGTTCATAGTAGCTCTTTGGCGATAACAAGGACGTTCTTAGTTCTCCTAACATGGTGCTAGCACATTTCAACGCATCCATAAGACGGCCTTTGTCAAGGAAACGTTTCATTTGAAATGCTTGATCACGAACAATACGTATGGCATCGTTAAGCAATTTTTCCTGATCATCTAAACTGGTAGGTGATGCCTGTGAAAAATAATTATTATGCATGCATCTAGGAGACAAAAATGAAAAATGGCGAAAAACAATGTTTGACTTAATATTTCACAAACACATAAGCTATTAACTTGTATCCACCCCCCATTAATAAAATTTTTTTCTTTACCGTTTCCTGTATGCCAGGTTGAGGAATATTATAAGCCGGTGAATTCCAAAGGTACATTTTTCTTTAAAAATTTCTTTCAAAACTTACCATTGTTAAAATTAAAAGAAAAACAAGCAAAATTCCGAAAATAAATTGACAATTTATCACTAGCACAATTCTTTAGTTTTGACTTGGAAATTATGACGATAATTTTGACGGCAATTAGCACTGGTAAGTTTATTTACAATGGTGGATAGCTTATCTTTATTTTCATATTTTTTTAGAATGATAATATGTGGTATACACTGATTTTATTAAAATAAGCACATATGTTCAAATTTTTACATCAGGAATTGCCAACAGATTCATTTGTCACATCTTCAGAGAGAAAATGATGACGTTTTCATTTTCTCAATGTTTATAGTTTTTCCAAGTTTTGTAAAATAAAATATAATATTTTAAAAACTTTTGAAATTTTACATACAGCTCTCGAAATATATGTTTATATCAGAAGTTTTTTTTTCAACAAATAATTCATTAACAATAATTTTTTTTCAAAATTTTTTAATTGAAAATAAAATAAACGAAATGGATTCACAAATGGTTTTATTTAAGGTTCGCACTTTTACAAGACAAAATCAAATTTTCGACCAAAAAATATTTGTTTATACCTATTTGATAAATATTTTGTTTATTTTTGACCTTTACCACATATTTATAAAGTTTTTAAGTTTTTTCAACTTTTCTGTCTGATTTATTTTTTTTTTAAATTTGAATTTTTTTTTTATTTTTTGGCAAATTACGTCACTCTTTAAAGTTTTTTCAAATTTTATACCAGTCAGACCAGTTAGCCTATTATGTAGAAATGCAAAACTTGCGTAACTAAATTTACGTAAGATCATTTGCGACTCGCAGGTGGTTTGATACCTTGACATAACAAAAATATCGTATTTCTATTATTCGTGCTTGTTACTACGTAACAAAATCGCATCGAAAAATTTAAAATGACAGCATTTACATAGAGGCCACCACATTATATGTACATTTTGAAATAGCGTTATCACTTTGTTTTTCCATGATACAAAATTGTCAAACTATAACAAAAAAAACTCCCATTTTGAATAATTTTCTTTTGAAGTTTGTAGTTTCAATCATAGATAATAAGAAACATTATATACACCACAAAATTACTATTATATTTATTTATATTTATAAGGTTTATAAGTAAATCTTATCTATACTTTAAATTTATTTATTGAATCAATTTTGATAAGAAAACAATTTGTTGGTTAATTTTTTTTAAGTTCGTGTTTATTTGTAAAATTTTTTTATGTAAAAGAGGAAAATGCGAACATTTAGTAAAATTAATTTTATTTATGTTTCATTTTTTAATACAATAAAACGTCTATTATTTTTTGAAACGTCTATTACTTTTTTAAATGTCTACTATGAAATTTGAAGAATTTAAATTATTGGGATTTTGACATTCCGTAAAATAATATTACCATTGCAGATTCACAATATCTGCGAGTGAGATTTATAATTATTCAAAAATTTACGTGCGTAACTTAGTTTGAAATTTTTAGAATTTTACTAGTGAGATTCACAATAAGGTTTTAGATACCTGAAATTGGATCAAAAGAACAAAAATAAAGAAAAGAACAAACGAAAAGTCTCTACATTAAAATGTCATTAAAAATTTTTTCAAATGTCACTAACTAAAAATATCGCTGTATCAATTTAATTTTATATATCGCTGTGGAGATGAAAGAGTCTAAGCCAATTGAACCTATATAAATCAATTGATTGAATAATGTTGACCTTCCGCACTGTCGAACTGCCCGAAAATCTGATGAGCATTTACACATCAGAATTATTAGGCTTTTGGGAGATATGTTTTTAATATTTCAAACCTATAAACTAAAATTTAAAAACAAAAATCAACTGATCACTGCATATTTTCAATTCAGTTCAAAAAGTTTGATTTGCGACAAATTGTTTTCAAAAATGTGAAAATCTGATGATAATCGAATAGTTTTCAATTTTTTCCATCAGATCGTTTACATAGACAACATCAAATAACTTTCTCAAATTATTGGTAGCAAATTTTTGTTGAGTAGATAATAAACTGCCAAATTATACTACTTGTATTTTCTGCAATTTCCTTGCAAACGGTTGGTAGTGTTAATTTGTACCGTCGTTTATTAGAAAATGACCTTTCGAATTTGTTAAAAAAATTTTTCAAAATACAAAAGATTTATTTCAACTAGCATTTTAAAAGTGTGGTGAAAGATAATAGAAAGAATAATTTAGATAATAGAAAATAGAATTTTGAAGATAATAGTGAAAAAGAAAAGCTGTAAATGCCTAACACTGCAATGCAAAATATATATATGCGTACAGATCGGTTGAAACACCATGAAACTGTATAATGTTGCTATAAAGTAAATTGTGTACAAACATAATTTCTGTTAACAATATAAGCTGGTTGATGTATAATTTATTTTTTCAGCTAAATCTTCTATGCTATCGCAATAAATCTATTATACCAAGTAATTATATATTTTTAGCTTTCGTTCAACATATTGAGTAATTTTAAATAATAAATTTATTGCCTGAAAATAAGTATTTTGAGTGAAAGAATTATAAATATCAGTGTTAAATTTTCAGTTAATGATTTATGTGCACAAAAGTTGAAATTTAAATAGTAATTTGTAATACAAGAATAGAAAATTTATGACACTACCTAGTGAAAATGGGTGCTCACACAAACTAATATACGAACAAAAAAAAAATTGTGTCACACGTAGGGCGATGGTACTCGCACAATTCCAATTTTGAAAACTTTTTCGTAGCTCAGTAACTAAAATTGCTAACGTAAAAATTATCAAAACGAAATTTAACATTAAAATAATTTTTTACAATATGTCTGCTGCAATGCGAACTACTTTACAATCAGTTCCGGAGTCTCTACCCACCGACTTATCTTCTATAAATACGACAACAAACGGAACATCTACAACAACTACATCAGCTGCATCTCCAATTGTGGCAGTAGCATCTGCAGCAGCACAACAATCTTTTACAAAAGACTTCGCTGAAAATAATCAGAGTTCAATAATTAGTCCAACAAATTCAATGACTACTTCTACGAATGTGGGGCAATCAAATGTTATGTCTTCTGTTGGTGGTACTGGTTCTGTTAATCATTCTCATTTACATGGTAGTGTAAATAACAGCTCTGCAACAGCAGCAATAAACAATATATTAGGAACTGGTTCTTCAGGTGGAAATCATCAAAATGGAACTGGAGTAAACACAAGTAATGGAGCAGGAAATGGAGGCAATAGTGGAGGTAATCATCATGGTACGCATCATTCTACATCGTCAGGTAATGCATCTGTGCAAAAATCTCATGCACATGGAAACTCAGCAATCAAACAAAGGTCTTCTTCTTCAGCAGCAGCTAAAGGATCTCCAAATATGCAAATGCGAGGTGGCGTACCCATGCGTTGGAGGCCAGCTGAAGAACATATTGGAAAATATAAATTAATTAAAACAATTGGTAAAGGTAATTTTGCTAAAGTAAAATTAGCTAAACATTTGCCTACAGGTAAGGAAGTTGCAATTAAAATAATTGACAAAACCCAGCTAAATCCTGGGTCTCTTCAAAAACTTTTTCGTGAAGTTAGAATTATGAAAATGCTTGATCATCCTAATATTGTGAAACTATTTCAAGTAATTGAAACAGAAAAGACACTATATTTAGTAATGGAATATGCTTCAGGTGGTGAAGTATTTGATTATTTAGTACTTCATGGCCGCATGAAAGAAAAAGAGGCACGTGTTAAATTTAGGCAAATTGTATCGGCTGTTCAATACTGCCATCAAAAACGTATTATTCATAGAGATTTAAAAGCTGAAAACCTTCTACTAGACAGTGAATTGAACATCAAAATTGCAGATTTTGGATTTTCAAACGAATTCACGCCAGGAAACAAATTAGACACATTTTGTGGTAGTCCACCTTATGCAGCCCCAGAACTGTTTCAAGGTAAAAAATATGATGGTCCTGAAGTTGACGTTTGGTCACTAGGTGTGATACTTTATACACTTGTAAGTGGTTCATTACCATTTGATGGTTCCACTTTACGAGAATTACGGGAAAGGGTTCTCAGAGGGAAATACAGAATTCCTTTTTATATGTCGACAGACTGTGAAAATCTGTTACGTAAATTTCTTGTCTTAAATCCAGCAAAACGGGCAAGTCTTGAGACTATAATGAGTGATAAATGGATGAACATGGGATTTGAAGATGATGAGCTTAAACCCTATGTTGAACCAAAGCCTGATTTTGCAGATCCTAAACGCATACATAAGACAGAAGCTTTACTCGCAATGGGATATAATAGGCAAGAGATTGAAGATTCTTTATCCCAAGGCCGTTATGATGATGTTATGGCCACATATTTACTATTAGAAAGAAAAAATAATGATCCTGAAAGTGATGGCTCCAGATCAGGATCTTCGTTATCATTGCGAAATATTACTGGAAATGATGGCTCTGCTGGTGGCAACTCATCAATACAAAGTCCGACACATCGTGGTGTTCACAGAAGTATTTCTGCTTCTAGTACCAAACCAAATCGTCGTGCATCAAGTGGGGCTGAAACACTTCGTGCTGTGCCAGCAAATCCTGCAATCGCTACAAATCCGGTGGTAGGAACTGTACATAGCACAACAACTTCATCAACTGCTTCAGATCGTTCAACTATAAGTAGTAATTTCAAACGTCAAAATACAATTGATTCGGCAACTATAAAAGAAAATACAGCTCGTTTAGCGGCACAAAATCAAAGACCTGCATCAGCTTCAGCTCAACCACAAAAATCATCGACAAATTCAGCAGATAACACCATTCCAAGTCCCGTTAAGCCAAAAGCATCATCGACATCTAAGTATGAACCAGCTAGTGGAAATCGTACTGTCGGGCCAAGTGGTATGATTCCACGACGTTCAACAACGGTGTACGAAAAAAGTTCTACGGAAAAAACAAATGTGTTGCCAACTGAATCAAATTTACTTGATCGTCTTCGAATGACTTCTTCGGCTGTTAAATCTAGTAAACATTTTCCAAGAAATGTACCATCTCGTTCAACATTTCATTCAGGTCAAACAAGGGCACGTAGCAATCAAACATCGGAATACTCAGGCACTGGAGCTACAAATGAAGGCTCCTCACACTCAGAAAGAATGAGCTTCTTTTCAAAATTATCTTCAAGATTTAATAAAAGAGGTTCTAGTTCAGAAGAGCCAGCTAAACCAAGAGTTTTACGCTTTACGTGGTCTATGAAAACAACATCTCCGTTAATGCCTGATGAAATAATGCAAAAAATTCGTTTGGTTCTGGACAAAAATAATTGCGATTATGAACAGCGTGAAAGATTTGTTTTATGGTGTGTTCATGGTGATCCAAACACAGATTCGCTGGTTCAATGGGAAATTGAAGTATGTAAATTACCAAGATTATCACTGAATGGTGTGCGATTTAAACGAATTTCTGGAACTAGTATTGGTTTCAAAAATATTGCATCTCGTATAGCATTCGACTTGCGCCTGTGACTAGACCAGACAAAAGTGGAAACTGAATATGAGCAAGACCAACCACAAAATAATATACAACAAGCAACATCTACAACATCAACAGCAACTGCAATAATCATAACAACTTCAGGAAATACAGCAACAACTACAACAATAGCAACGACTTCAATTAATAATTCTAATACAACAAACACAACATCAACAACAATTCAATTGGATCCATCACCAATCAAACCGAATATATTTAATAAAGACAAAACTTCTAATTAGCCAAAAATTGCTGACACATTACTAAGTAAAATGTTTAATAAAAAAAAATAAAATGAAATGCAAAAACATAAAACATACTTATTAAAAAAACGAACAATTTTTAATAGGAAGAGAAAAAAGAATTACAGAAAAATTATATATATATATATATATATATATATATATATATATATATATATATGTATATATATTATTTTCTATATATATGTATATATAGCAAAATATAAGATTAACAGCAAATGCAGCAGTGTTATCTATCACAAAAGCGTTAATAACGCATTCAAAATTCCATGTAACTTAAATGATAAAAAAAATACGAATAACGAAATAATTAGACAAAAAAATGTAAAAAAACTAAAACTGAATGGAAATATTAAAAAATACAACAAAAAATAAAAATTAATCTATTAACAACAAACTGGAATGCCAGTATCATCCAAATTAGAAGTTTATAGTTGAAGTAAATAATTCCTGTAAGTATAAGATATTTACATTTTCTGTTGCTCTATTTACTTTTTATTATACTTGTTTTACTAGGAAGTCTGTAATATCAATGTAATAATATTTTTTGTTTCATTTTTATTAAACTATAAATTTCTACTTTTAGTTTAATGTACAATACATCTTGTGATAAAATTGAAATGTGTACCTTTTTGTATTTTTTTTTTAATTGAAACATCATTTTGCGGGAAAGAAATACATAGAGCCAAAATTGTTTAAGATGGTGCAAAAATTATTTGTTTTTATACAATTTTTATGTTTCAAAAGTAGGTTCAAATTGTTAATAGGTTGATATTGCCCTGAAATATTATTATTGTAGTTTGTATCTTTATTTAAAATATGACTTTATAATACGTATTTTCTTTTTTTTTTGTCATTTTATTTGTACTTTTTTCTTACTCTTATATTTTAAAAATTGTAGCATGAATTAAAAATACTATTTAAAGGGGAAATAAAATACTTTTTATGAATATGAAGTATTACAATAAACAGTAGTAAAAGTACCTGAATGTTCTTATAACAATAATTTGTAGTGTTTTGTTTTATGAAATTTTCATAATTCGTTTTTCATATAAAGTTTGATGTCTAAGAGAATTATTGAAGGAAACATAGAATATATTCTGAGGAATAAAATTAAAGTTTCATACGTACCTTTAACTTTTTTACACCTATTTGAAATATATAATGAAAACTAATGCCATATATATCTATCAGGCCATTCAAAAAAAATTCCAAGTTTATAGGAAAAAATAAGGTTAACACCACACATATGTATGTACATTGTTTTTGCTATTGGTTCGTTTTTTTCACGCTTAACGCTCTCGAACACATAAACCTCATATGAGGCTCCAAAAAATTTTTTTGAATGACATTTATGAGTCTTAAAATCAAAAATTTTGAACAAGAACGATTTTAATATTAAACTATAAATTTTTCTTTTTACTTTTTGTTATATTGTTTCTTACTTTATTTATGTGAAATATTTTTTCCTCAAACTTGAAGTGAATTCTAATTGAAAAATAGAAGGGGAAAAAAGCGGAATCTTTAAATAAAATAAAAAAAAGAAAATTTTGAGGGTGCACAAGACGAATTCTGGTAGGATTTTGAAATTAATGAAGTAAGAAATGAAGATCCTTCCATCTTCCTCAAAGAAGTTCTCCATAGACCGAAATCGACTTCGTGCTATTAGTGGTTTATTCACTGCGCTTTATCCAGGGAAAAATCACTTGCACAAACTGGGTAAATCGGGCTCCGTTTTGTGTAGATTCTTTGAGAAACAAATTCTGGGTGACTGGCGTGCTATATGACGTATGGTGATAGGCAGGGTTTGCTCAGTATTAAGATTATCCAACTTACTGAGGGATATCTCCGATTATTTGCTTGGAACCGGGGTAGTTTAAGTAAGATATGGGAGAGCTACAATAAACCATAGTTAGCTGCGGTGGTGGGAGGGGAAGAATTCCTTTGCGCGTGTGTTTTCAGTAATCTAGTCTAATCTAATCTAAAAAATGGAGATAATGATGCACGAAAATATTGATATAGCTTTTTGTGTTATTTTGTTAAATAATTACATACATACATTCTGTTTGCTTGTAGTTATTATGAATAATGAAAATAATAGTGAAATATAGTTACAAAAAAAAAACTTGTAACTGAATTTCCCTATTTAAATTTATAATTGTAAAATAGTTTTTTTTTTGTCACTGAAAACAATATTATTTATAGTCAAATAATAATTTATAGTTCAAATCTTATAAGTACATATTTGCAACCGTTATAACAACCTCTTACTTCAAGTCGTTTCAAAAATCAGCATAAAACCAATATTTTAAAAAAACTAATATTATGAAATGATTTTATATTTCAATATATCTAAAAAAACCTTAAAATTTTCTTCAATAATTTGTAGAATTTTATGAACCTACTTTACAGATAGTGTAGATTATTCCATTATGTCACTATAAATGCTATAATATCCAAAAAATAAAACACTTATGTATAATTTTGATTTTTGGTTTCATTCGCCAAGCATGTCACATAGAATTTTCATTCGGCAGATTTGAATGCTTATTCGCTTAGACGAATTCGCTTATCATAATACCAAAAATTTATATTTGCCTAAAATTTCATTCCCTTCGCCGATCATAAAAAGGGTAACTTCTCTTCGGAAAAAGATAGAAGCATATCACCTGAATTTGCCCCGTTTTCATTTTTCCTAATACAATAGCATATTACCACATAGTTGCGTTCAAAATTTTTGAAATTTTGAAACTTTGTCTATAGAATTTTGGCAACTTTTTTAGGCTTAAATTTCGGTCCTTAATCGTTGAAAAATCTTTTACGGTACAGGAAATATGGCACAAAAACCATTTCTATTTCAAGATTTTAAGGGTCCCAATAAAATATAAAAAATCAAAAAAATTTCACTATTTTTGATCATCTTGATTTTAAGTTATGTAATTATCAACTATTATTAATTTTTAATCACAATAGTTACTCTAACTTGACCGTTTTACTTAAAGTTGATTTCAACAGGCGTCAATTGCGCTCTGTTTACAACTTCTACACAGGGAAAATATTTTCCCTTATTACAATGTAAATCTCCCATTAGGTCTATATTTTTTGTTTGCATCAACGTTTTAAATATTTTTTTTATGCCGTTAAAGTTTTATTTTGCAATTTTATAAATATTCAAGATTTTATTTATTGTATTTATTTTGTTATATTATTTATGTATTGTAAAAATTATTTCTGTAACTTCTAAAAATTCAATTTTCCACTGTTTATTTTAGTGAAGCTATAAGAATTTTTCAAATTTTGCAAATGCAGAAATTTAGTGACTGACTTCTTCTACCGCAGCATACCATATTTAAGGAAATAAAATTATTGTTTAAATTTACAGCTATCATCTAAAATCCGTTTTTTCAAATTTTTTATGTCGTTTCCCTTCTAGGCCACAGGTTGTAAAAGTTTGAAATTTTAGCAGATTTTAGACAATAATAAATAGTTCATTTCGTTAGAAGAACATTTTTTTCCACCCTCAAGTTACTGCCAATCGAAATGAATAAAATTTGAATTTTTGGCACCTTATATTTCCGAAACCGCAAGCTTTTTTCAAATTTCTATGAACGCAGAAAGCTAATGGTAAATTTCATGCCATTAAAAAATATAATTGTTTTTCCTAACCTACTTAACCCTTAAAATCGAGCATTATGTTAATAAGTACCTTTTTAAAGTTATATTTGCTTTATTTCAAAGACTGCATAAATCGCTTATCCTAAGTGTATGTAATTCTTAATGAAATAATTTCGTATGTGAATAAAAGTAATTTTAATAGTGTACTAGGTATACATACCTATGTTGTTTTCAGAAGCAGTATTTTCACTTCTTGAATGGAAAAGTGATACATTACAAACCATTAGTTCGACCCAACTTTATTTTTTTTAAAATTCGGAACGAAAAATGATGTTAACAGATATACATAGGGTACATAAAATCCCATACAAATTTATTATTTACCAAAGCAAAACAGTTAATAAAGTCAGTTGCAAATGATATTTCTTCTTGTAAGTAGTTAATGTAAGAAACTCGACGGGCCTATACTCATACTCACACAGTACATATTTGCACATAACCCACAAAAGTTTGCCGATGGTTGATTTAAGGCAAGTTTTATTGTGTACATTATGTGCTTTATTTAAATGATGCTCGCATGGATCTAATAATACATGAATAGCTGGCAAACAATAAGTCTTTCCACAAGCACGGTATATTGCGATATATAGCAAGAACTGCGCTATATGCTAATCAATGCTAATCTAATGTTGCTAATCAATTTTGTTCATAAACATTGCTAACCTATCACAAAAATATTTAAATTATCATGGCTATCGCAGTTAAATCAGCTGTACTTTTTTTTACTAGTTTTTGCAGTTTGGTTTTACATTTTTAATTGTTAATTATTGTACTTGAAAATAACAAAATTTCTTTTTGTTTTTCCTAATTTTTATATTTCCACTATTTGACCCAAAATAAATAAATTTTTGTTACAGATAATTTTTGTTCATGAACACAATATTGCAAATTCAAAATAGCAAAAGTTTTTATACAACTGTCAAAAACAATTTGCTTATGTATCACATTATTGTTTTGCAGTTTTGTATTTATGAAAATCTCTAATAATTTTTTAAGCCAAGCGAACATACATAAGTACATATGTTGCTTTTTTGCTTTTATTTCTTGAAACATAAATGTGTTGGCAGAAACGGTTTGAAAATATGTTTAGGAAATGTAAATATAACGAATAATAAATGCTTTAAACGAATTGTTAGTTGAATTAGTTTCCATTAGGAAACTATTATCATTATGAAACTATTTTGCGTTTACCTGTACAGTTATAGGTCATCCGCACTCTTACGGGATCGAAAATTTAATGTTTTCTTACATTACATTCGAAAAATGTCTGGTCTAACTTACCGATTTTAACGAAAATTTGCATTTTAGTTTTTTTAGTTTATAAAAACTATAACTTGCTAACTAAATTGCTTCAATAAAACTCCAAAAATTATTATTTTATATCTTAGAAACATCTATCAAATTTTTTCATAAACACGTTTGGTAA